CGGCCGTATTAGGCACTTTCGCAGACGCCGAGCTTGCCGAGCTGAACGATGCAATCTCACTCGCTCAATTTGCGCCGCGAAAAAATCGCGAGACCGCCTTCCCGCAGCGCCTTTTTCCTTTTGCCAGCCGTCTGCGCCTCCGCTCGCTCGTGTTCCCGTCCCTCCCGCCTCCCTTACGCTCACTCGCTCTTCCTCCCGTCTTCCTCGCCTCTTCGTTCTCCTCGCAGCCCTCCCCCCATCATCTCCCGGCGTTCTCGCGGCACAACCCCCGCTGCGCATCTGCTGCTCTCTTCGATCGGGAAAACCGGCTGATCGTTTTGGCATCTTGACTCTGACAGTAACATGTTAGGCCCACAGGCATTTCCTTTCGCTTACCCTTTCTTCCATTTTTTTCTCTTTTTTTTTGTAAGACGCTGTACTCCACTCCTATTTCTCTATTACTCAGAAAAAAGTTGGGTCCATACGAGAACCATTGCTATTATTAGCGTTATCCAATGAGAACCGATCTCCCGGTAGTGACTAGTTTACAGAGACAATAAATGAAAATTAACGATCAACTTAATAAATGCAAGTAATTCGTTAAAAACGAGAAAAAAAATTGCAAGAAAGCAGGATATTTGCCATTTCTTCGCGATTGAGACCTGTGGTGTTCCTTCAGCGTCGAAATCGCGGGTGTTACTCTCAGGGTTAAATACGCAGCTATCAGGCCCGATCTACCTGAATATCGCGTATTACCGAGTCGATTCACGAGTCCCGGTGGCCCGCGGTGACATCAGAGCGAGTCCTCTCCGACTCACGTCTGTACGTGACTGATTTTAATACGCGTGCGCATCATCTTTGTCACGCGCCCCGAGCAGACTGCAGCATCGAGTGTTTCTTTTGTCGAAAATACTCCCCTCTTCTCCCCCTGTCCAGTAAATAATAACAATAATAATATTTCCTTCATTGGGCGCTGTTGATTACAGAGTCTAAAAGTATCGAATGTGTTGAAGATCGGTGTTACGTTGAGATCGATTAAAATGCGCAGCATCAGCTGTACAGTTGATTTTGCTATAAATATTTTACCTAAATGTATATAAATGAATATCAAAATTAATAAATTGGCGGCACAAAGCAGAAAATTGAATTTAAATCGTAACGACACATAGATACGTGTTAAACACATTACAATATGGACAGTCAGTCGCCTAATAATGAAATAATAAGTAGTAAATAGTAAACATAAATCAGCTGTTCGGTGTGTCCTAACGCGGCAGAGAACGGGAGCTGTGAAAACAATCGATCGAATCTCACGGGGGAGAGAATTATAATATTGAACTGCACAATATATGAGAATGTAGTGCGATGCTTGTTTGTTCTGTGACGAGGAATTAACGATAATAAACTTTGGCGACTAGCGTCACATAATTCATCACCATATTCAGCATTTCGATGAAAAAGATTGCAAAGATGCTCTGTCGAGCAAACGCGACAGCGCGACGTGATTTCGCGGCGTTAAGAGCATTGATTTCGCCATTCTCGCATCATTTCATTATCTTTGCAACGGGCAATTTTGATTAGCAATTTTGATTTGCGTAGGGGGGAGGGGGGTGCGGCCGGTGTCCGCATTACAATGTTGCATTCGTCATTTCCGCGGCGCCTAGCGTACCACGCGTCCACTTTGTTATTGTAATGTCACGGCTGCATTGCGAGGAATCGCGGAGATGCGCAATCAGTATAGCACAGATGAATATTATTTACGAGTGCGCCGCTCTGTAATCTGCCGTACAGCCGCTGTGCATTTAACGGCGGCTCTTTACGCGATTCGTTGATCTCCGAGCGGCCCCATCCGGTTTATCGCGCGTCGCTCCGAGAATACGTTCCGAGGAACGCGCGTGATATCGAACCGCGAGATCATCGTGGAAAATTTTCGCGCCCTGAGAACTTGACCCACTTCAACGGGAAACGCCACCTGGTTTTGCCCTATCTGTCCAGCACTACACGGCAATTGCGCAATCTTGGACATTGTGGTCGATTGACTTTAATGAAACTTATGTCGACCGTCGAATCTTCGCGAGAAATCCGTCATGATGGATCGCAAGGATCGCGGGAAATTCGACGCCCGCGACGACGACACTCGCGCACCGGTCGAGCGAGGTGAATTCTACACAATGAGAGATTTTTAAAAACGACCCACCGCAATTTTCACGTTACTTTAACGTGGGAAATATATTAAAAGGCGCTCATATATATGTTAAATAAATTAATATACTCAGCTTGTTAACATATTGTTAACACATTAATATTGCAAGTGACACAAACATTCGAGAATGGGCCGTTTGTAACACAAAACCGTCGGGTATTGTAATTATGCAAAATGATTGTTAATTCTGTGCAGCCAATAACGAGTATAGTACTAAAAAAAAAAACTGAGGTAAAACAGGATAAAATTCAGGATCACCTTAATCCTCTGACGGTAAGGTTGGAGTCGGGTGTGACTCCGCGGCTCGTTTACAGCGTGCACGCGTTGTTTCTCTTCGCAAGGAACGTTTCATGTTATTATTTACCTCTTTTACTCATTTTGTACATCGCAAAAAGTGAACAAAACGGGGTCGGATCCGACCCCACCTTCCTGGATACGTTGAAAGTCCAGCTTGTCATTAGAGGGTTAATGTGGGCTTTCGAGCGGTCCGCCTCTCCGTGAATCGACTCGCTTCTTTTATAGTTACTACAATGCCCGCTTTACAATATCAACACGCTTAAAGGGACTCTATCCACGCGCAATATTCCGGCTTTAACCCGTTAATGTAGATGGAGCTTGGCTTCATTTCTCAGAGGATTCCCATCGTTCGTGGCGACTAATGAACGCGGTTCGCGATGGGAATTTATTTTGATCGATACCGCCTACCGCTTCTCGAATACCTTTCTAATCCATCGCAACTCGCGCCGCGTCGATACTCGCCGACCTTCCGCGCCGGCGGCAGAAGACGGGGACGCGCGCGCTGAATAGAGCGGACTTCTGCCGCGAGAATTCGCGCTCGCCTCGCTCCGAGAGCAGAAGGAGAGGAGGAGAGCCTCTCAGCCAGCGTGGCTCGTCGAATCGCACGATAGACAGCTAGTTAGATCGATAGATCGGGTTCCAGTCCGGCGCTCATTGATCGCGCGGCCGCCGTCGCGCTCGCCATTTTCCACGGCGCATTTTTCGGGCCCGCTGCCGCGAGAAATTGCTTAATGAAGCCGCGGCTCGGTACCCGCCTGAAAGGAAGGTAGAAACGTTGCAGTGGGTCAAGGAGAGACGACGCCGGCTTTCACTTCCTCTCGGCGGAGCCGGAGCCGCCGGAGAGCTACCTCGGAGAACGCCTCCCGTGCGCGCGGTGTTTCTTTTTATATTTCTCCTTTTTTCCTTCTTCTTCTCCTCTTCTTCCTTCCTCTCCGTTCCCCCGTCGTCGTCGTCCTTACCCTCGCTCGTCGCGAATGTTTATCCGCCTATGATTGCGTTTCGTTATTTCGGCCGACGAGAGAGAGAGAGAGAGAGGGAACGTGTTCGTGCAGAGCTTAATGGACGCCAAATAGCCGCCACTTAACCTGGACGGGCAAGAAGACAGGCTGTGTAACGCGGGTCACGATAAACAACTTATCTTCGGGGTTTATCACTTTTTCGTCCGTTAACGAGAAGTCGGCGCTTCACTTTGTAGAACGAATCGCGATTCCGCTCGGCAGCTGCGACGGAGGGTAATTCCCTGGCTGCCGTAGCCAGTAAAGATTGTACTATCGTTTAACGACGGAGAAGAAAAAAGGAGTTTTCGCACAACCTCCTCCGGTATATGTATCGATTATTTACGAGATCCCCCCCCCCCTCCTTCTCTTTCTCTCTGTTTTGCCGATTAATATCTCCGCGTACCCTCCACACCTCTCTGATAACGTGCGATAATTTCGTCGAGCTGTTTTCGAGTAATAACACTAACTCGTTAACGAGACTGAAGATAGGCTCGACTCGCGTCATGCGTATTTTCCGTCTCGTAATAACAATTGTTTAAGGTAAAAAGTACAATAATACCCGGACATGTACTTTCTTCAAGTTGAATCAGTGATATAATGTTCTACCGATAATCAACGAGTGTTCAATAATTTTTAACAGGAACTCTTATAATTGAGAATATTTCAGGTAAAGTCATTGACGATACCTTAAAAGCGGGATTAAGATGATAAAAAGGAAATGATAAATAAGATTTACTGTTTACTTTACTTTTTCATTGTTTCCGCCGTTAGATTTCTCCGACGGAAACAGTTGCTGCTATTAACGGATTTTTTGCGGTGAACTTTTGCTGATTTGCCGTGCTATACTTATAACTATAACTATAACCATTAGTGACTAATGACTGCGTTTGTGGTGATAATACACGGATTGCATTTCAGATAATATCTAAATTTAGACATTTTTATCGTTTGATTTTTAAATGCGAATATTTCAACATTCAATGTGGAATGCATACATATATTGAATATGTATACATATTCTAAATATGTTGGAAGTTTAAATATTCCGTATTTAGAAGTCAAAACAATAAAAATGTGTTCAGGTACCTACGTACGTGTTTACGTACGTGTCCGGGCATTGGTATTACCTTACATTTATGAGTGAAATAAAGTTTTACAACGATGCGGTCGTTCATACGGTCGTAAGAAATAATAAACGGTTAAAAAAGCCGTTTTTTTTTTCATTTTTTCTCGGATAGACCGAAAAAATCCGCGGAGAAATTGAAAAATACGTTTCTCCCACTTTTGTTTTCATCCGTGACAAAACCGCGGAAAATTAAAAAAACAGAACCGGATTCTTCCTGAGTCCTTGAAACTGTAAAATAAATTTTGCGCGTTCGATGAGTCGAACCTTCTCCATACGACCGTGTCGTTAGAAAATAATCCGGGGATATCCGGGACACACGGGGCGATTGCAAAGGACAATTACGATTACGCGAAGGACCCGCAGGTCTACTGAAACGAGGCCTCGTTATCTGTTGCAGTGGACACCAGGGAAGTCCAGCCGCACGATACCGGCGAGAAGGAACAGCTGGGTCTTGCGAGCGTGAAAGTGGAGCCGGGATCCACGAGCGCGACGACCACCAGCAGCACAGGCACTCGCCTGCTCCACGGCATCCTCTCCCAGCATCCCCAGCAGCATGGCTTGGGGCTGCAGAACGGATACGGCCGGCATTTGGCCGGTCATGCTCAGATGGGCCAACCGCCTTACACCACTGCCGCCATCGCCACCACGAGTACGCCAGGTGAGTCCGCGATACTCGACGAGTAACACACTGCGAGGAGAAGTATGTGAAATTCAAAGGAAAATCTATTCAGCGGGTACTAATAATTATTGAAGCTAATGTACATATTTTTACACTAAAAGGCAGTTTCTTTCGTAACTGAGAAAATATAAGTTTTCTTAAATCTGTATCTGTTGTGCACGAAAGCAATTGTTCATTGCATTTGGTTAAAAGAATTCTCAGATTTCAGTAAATATATCGTTAGTTCCCACCGAAAAAATATTTCTCATTTTTTAGATATTTTTTCTCTCAGCGTACCTTTCGGAAATTGCGACCGACCCGTCCGTCTGTCCGTCGTCGCCGAGATTCGCCCCGACAATTTGCAGGGATACGGTAAACTTCTAACGAAGCTCGGTGTAATCCGGGATAATATAATAATAATATAATGGTGGAATGATACATATTTTCATACATTTCCAACAAAGCAGGGGACAATATGAAGTAATAATATATATATAATATAAGTAATGGTCGCTGAATATGACGACGTAAAAAATAAAGGATCGTTGGAAAAGGAAACTAAACGAGCGCAAAGAGACATGATAAAATTTTAATAGAGTGTACGTAACGCGCGTCACGGTAAAATAAATAAATAACGTGGAACACACTCGGTAAACGGAGAGTAGAAGGGAAGAAAAATAAATGTGCGAAACGCCAGGAAGAGTTTGATGGATCACTGATGGGACGAGGAATAATACAGGATAATATATTGAAACGGACAGAGAATAGAACAGGAACAGAGGAAAGAAACGAAATGATATACGATCGCAGGGGACGTGTCTCTTTCCTTGCTATTATGCCGCGTAACGTTATTTTTTCAAAATTTAATTGCAACGTCGATATCGTTTTTAAATTAGGGCGATCTATTTAGGTAAATCGACTCGTGGCGATGAAGCGAACACAGCGATATAGTGTCTCTCTTCCGTGATTTAAATCCGATAACCCAATTACCCATAGGCTCCTGCAACCCCCATTTCGAAACGCGCCACGCTTCCTAAATGTTTTCACAGATACGTGTTTCCCGGTAGAAAACGCACTGGTGAAAAAGAGACAGATCGAGAGGAAGAGGGAGAGAGAATTCGAAGGGAAATAACGAGATTTCGCGGATTGACATTTGCAGCCGTGTAAAATAAAGCCCCGATTTCCGTTAATTGGCTCGCCACGCGATAGATTCCGCGTAAATGGCTCGCCGAAGTGACAATCGCAGCTCGATTAACTCGTTTCGTTTCGAATGATCGCGCCGTCGATCGCCCGTACGGTCGCTCGCTAATTGGCCGAGAGAGGGAGAGACAGCCAGGGAGAAGGAATGACGGTGGATGTAGAGAGACGGGACAATAAAACGTAATAATATCGCTTTTGAGAAAGAGATAAGAAAGGTGGTGCCATTTATTCGAAACGATCGCGACAGTAACACGACGCGAGAATCAATAACGGTGAGAAATTCGCGCCTTACGATATCCTCCGTAATCGTAATTAGAGCAATTAGGTCTATGTCGATTTCGCAAAGCCGTGATTGCGCAATGGAACGAGAGAGAAAGAGAGAGAAAGAAACAGCGAGTGAAGGAAGAGGAAAAAGATCACACGATGAACAAATCGTCGAGCGTTGCGCACTCGGCCGCGGAAGAATTCGGGCAAAAGTCGATTCGTAAAATACCGACTCGATCGTTGTTGCATAAAAGCAGCGCCGGCCGGTCGGTCGGTCGATCGATTCGGCGAGACTACTCGCGGCTTATCGACTTGCGCCGGTCTTGCACGATCGCGCTTTGCATAACGCGACGAGAGGGCGATGACGACGACGATGACGACGACGACGAGGAGAGGGGGGAGAAAGGAAGAACAGGAGAAAGAGAGCAATGGTTCGTGCAGAACCCTTTGGGACTTGTTTGAGACGGTTAGCCGCGACGGAAAGAGCGAGAAAGGGAAGGAGAGAGAGAGAGAGAGTAGGGGGAGAGGGACCGTGGGAAGAGCGAGCGATATGCATACCCAATGACCGGATGACCTTCGCCCGTTGCATAAAGATGCCTTTAATTGACGGCGCGCGCGAAAACACGTTCGGCCGCGGGCCGACGACGCTCGATAAAGCCGAGCGAACGAACGAACGAGCGAATGAACGAGCCGCTGGACCACCAGCTCGATGGGCCACCTAATTTGTTTAAAGCGGCAAACGATAGCGACGGACGAGCTTTAATTTAGGGGCTGGCAAAGAGCCGGGGACCGGTCGATCGTTAATTTATTACGTCCGCGTATAATGCCGGTGCGCGGAACGGCGATTCGGTAATTGCCGCGGCGTAATGCTCGGTACAAAGTATTTTATCGGACACGCCGGCGATAGCTGGAGCATCGCGTTAAATGTGTGTGTGTGTGTGTGTGTGTGTATTGATGACGTCGGGAGAAGCGGGCTAACGTATCGCGAAATTTCCATGACAAACAATGTTTTCGTGAGAGCGCGGGATGCGCCGCCGCCGTCGTCCGAAAAGGAGAGATCGGGTGTCTCGGGCGCAAACAAAAAAAGGAAAGAAGAACGAGCCGGCGGACGGATTAGGAATTTCGGTGTACCTTGTGTACAACGAAAACGATTAGCATATCGCCTCGAGTCCGCCTCGCGAAAGTGAAATCCGTCGCGGCGCGACGCTGCTATATTTGTGATTTCACTCGCGAGGACGGAGAGACGCGTCTCTTTTTTCCTTCGGAATGAGAAATAATCGATGAGAAATTATGCTTCTGTCGCAAAAATGCGTCTAACGTAAAAACCGCTTCTCCGTCGCGATTCCGAGTGTGTTTCCCCGAGAGCCACGAGGTTATTGTTTACCCGAGAATAGGTAAAAATATTCCTCGCGTTCGTTTCGCGTGTCGTTAAGCGGCACCTGCGAATTGCGCCGACGATCCTCTCACGACGATGTTACCTGAGTTGAAATTTTGATGCTACTGTGACGCTGTTAAGAATAATCGGGGCCTACTTAGACGGCTTATAGACTAATTAAAACCTATTTTGACTGATACTTTTTAACTTCTTTCTTGAATCTTTAATTCAATAGAACGTTCTGTATATGTATTGGATTTTAATGCCACCTTCAATAACCTATATTGATTTGCTAAACCAGAGAAAACGGAAATTGAATATATTATCAGGATCAAGTATAGGTTATATTATATTATTAGAAATCGAATGTTGCTATCTTAGTTACTATGTTATAGAAGTAAAGTAAAGGTTTAACGTAGGGCCAAAATTTCTTCTCGGATAGCTCTGGCCAGACTTCGGCAAATTTTATATATATATCTTTGAAATAATAAATAAATCTATACTATCTATAAATTACACTTTTATTCAGAAGGCATCAAATGATGATATTCATCTAAATAATTTATTCATATAAATATACAAATCATTTATTTATTATTCGCATTATTCGTTATCCGTGTTATTCGTTATTCGCATTATTGGTTATTCGAGTTATTTGTTAATCATCATTTATTATTTGTCTTGTCTGTTCTCTATATTATTTTATAAATATAACAAACATTTTTTTATTAATAGCTGCCTCAATATATTGCCGGTATAATAATATGATAATTGTATAATATATTAAGTAAAAATATTATAATGAAATGCGAATTCACATACACGTGCATACAAATGAATTCCGCGCAAATAATCAGAGCACAAATAATAAATTTTTAATACCTAATTCCGGCTCCGATGACGGGGGGAGACACTCACAACATTTTGGCGTCCCGCCGCTTCCGCGAAGACCCCCTTTAACATTTTATTTTATTTATCTCACGACGCTTTGAGCGAAATGGGATCGCGGGAGATTGATCGACAGTCACGCGCGCGCCTTATCGCTAGCCGTAAACTCCGTCGGGGCCATTTATCACAGAGGACGCGTCCTCCTCCCTTTGTTTCATGGCGTTCGTTGGAAGCAGGAAGCGGATCACTGCCAGCGAGCCCAGCGGACAGCGGAGTCAGCGACGTCGAGTCCAGCACGTCCTCGGGCGGCAACGAGGACGCGAATCTCTTACTGAAAGCCAGGCTCAATCCTAACTCGTCCCTCCAGCCGGGTCTGGCGTCTCATCACTCTCACTTGTCGTCAGGTGAGCTCGTTATCTTATGTACCTCTCGCGCGTGGGCGTCCGCTTCGGATATGAAGCAACAGCGGGAGGAGGGTCTCAAACGGTGGGAAATCAACAGGATGTCTCTCTGCAACGCGCGGAATGTAAACGTTCTTGCGAAAGTCTTCGTCGCGCGTCGCGTGTGCAGCTGTGTAGCGCGTCGAGTTCTAAACGTTTCCCTTTTATGCTCAAGTATGCTTTTCGTGTCGCAATCGTCGCAATTTTCGCCGATTTAATCAATCGATCGATTTTACTTCACCGTCGCTGATGAATTAACAGAAACGGCGAATAATCGTCGCTACGCTGAGAAGGGAAAAAACCGCACTCAAGTGATATTCACTTGATCTGAGTGAAATAGTTACTGCCATACCCCTTGGCGAATATTTACCAGAAGTAGAAACATAGTTGACCAAGACCGAACGTTCGAATCCGACTTTGTTTCGTCCGACTTAACGCGATCTTCGCATATATATTCATCGAGATATCGAGTCGAGAATTCGCTCCTCGCGCATTAGCAGCGAGCGTAGTCGCCGAGCGAGCGGGGCAATTAAATGGACGGTTTTCTTATCGCGCGTCTCTATCGATTGTTCGACAACAGCACTCGGCAGATCGGCCTGCCACAGCCCGGGCGTGTACCAGTCGACGGCGAGCTTCCTGCCGCCCTCCTATCATCCTCATCAGCATCATCCCTCCCAGTATCACCCGCACCGAGGGAGCTCGCCGCACCATCAGCACAGCAACCACACCATGGGTCCGGCGATGGGGCCGCCCCACCATCATCATCACCATCAAACGCAGAGCCTCCAGCACTTGCATTATCGTCAGCCATCCACACGTAAGTTCGAGCCTCCAACTTGTTACCACCGCGCGCGCGCCCGTAATCGGCAGCGTTTCTCTCGCCGGGGGTCCCTCTCTCGTCAGGGAGACCTCGGCGATTCTTGTTTGTGCGATATTAATTGCGCTATTTCCGACGATTGGCATGAGTAACTAAGCGCGTTCGCAATTTCTTCCGGCACAACGGCGGGGGGAGAGAATGAAAATACCCCCTCTGAACCGTAATACCGTTGTCGACGATTCGGCAGCGGTCTCGGAAATTGTCGAGGGATTGCCACGGTCGAAATTCCTCGAGATCCCCGGTGAATCGCCGGGACGATCGAGGGCGTCGACGGACTCCCGGCGCCGTTAAGACTCCGTAAAAGATGATCGGTGCTCGACGGGAGAGCGGCCGACTCGCCCGTGTGTGACACTCGGCTGACGTTGAAAGCGGCGCGCTTCGTTAAAATTCCGTGCTCGTCGCTCCGTCGTCGAACGTATACGAATCAAAGGAGAATTAAAAAAGAAAAGCGAAAGGACCGAGGGGAGATGGAGAGGAGGGGGGGGGGGATAAAACGCGTGCCAGAATTCCGACGAAGTTGGAGCGCGCGTGATGTATCTCGGCAATCACCTCTCGACGGACGTTAATCCTTCGCTTCCAAGATTTCGCGTATCACCCCGTACGTGGTAGTGGCGGATAGCGATCGAAGTAGATTTCCAGCTAGTCGGATCCAGGCTATAGTGGCAGACTTACCAACGAGGCGGGCCTTTTCTTTGACCTCGTTTACTTATCGGCAATTTCGACGATAGCAGATGTATCTCCGTTCTCATCGCGATCGATCGTTGGGGCGTTCGGTCAGAGGAGGGCGGGGGGATAAGGGCGGGCGGGGAAAGGAGGAATACTCGATGAAACAGTGATTTCGGTATCTCGCAGTGGCATCTGAGGACTGGATCGTCGTGACGTAACGGCACTCGCGGCAGCCCGAGTTTATTTCGACTTCGGTGGATATCGATTAGATCGCCGTCGTCCAACCAGACGACGCGGAATATTTTCGCCTTTCACGGCTCACGATTCACGCGGGCGAGTGTAAGCGCGAGGAGGTTGTACGACGACGGCCCCATGCACGATTCAGCAGTCGGGAGAGGAAGACATCGCTTTTTATATTGGATGCCAACGTAAAAGCCGGCCGAGCGACGCGAGAATATTTGATTCCGCGAATGCGCCAGAACCGCGCGAGATTAATTCGCCGTCAGACCGGCGATTAAGAAATATTTATGCTCTCGTCGCATTAATAACGCGCGGGCGCACCGTCAGAGAGAGCCGAGTGACGTAAAAGATGGGGGTAAAAAAGAGAGGAGGAGCGAAACGGTACGAGCGATAGTTTCGCATCGGTGATAATCCGGATCGGCGGAAACTTGGGGAAACGCGCGACTCTCTCTCTCTCTCTCTCTCTCTCTCTCTGCCCCCATTCGTCGCGCTGCGCCGACGGCGGCGGCAACTCGAAATAAAATAACAGGATACGAGCATGTATATTGATACGATACCAATTTCGCCGCGGGAGTTAAATTTTTACTCGCGCATATTTCCGAAATAGACAGAAACGAAATTCTCTCCGACGCACCAATTGTGTCAATTTGGCCGGTATAGCGATCCACCGACAGTTTCATCCTATTTTACACATTCGCGATACCTTATATCGCGTCGGATCGATAATAAATTTATACAAATTTTCAGATATATGGATGTTAACCGTCTTTTCTGCCAAATGATTACTCTGTATAGCTCTACGTTCTATTTTAACGGATATTTTCGATAAATTATTTGTGTCAAAAGTTGTTTCGCTTGCAGCTGGTTTGCAAAATAAATAGAATCAGCTTCGGAGGCTCGATGGACTTTTCACGAGATACAGAGGAAAACATTTTTTTCTAGGGGGGGGGTTTACTTGTACGTGTTTGTTTGACTTGGGTATTTAATATAAACAACACAGTTTAATATCAAATATCATTTTGTTTGAATAAAAATGCTGTTTCACCGGAGAAAAACATAGCTATTTTCGAGGACAATATTATCCTTTTTTATTTTAACCGCAAAAATGATAGTAGCAACATGCACGTCAAGTTATTATCACTGACACTGTAATAATACTAGACAAATAATTCTCTTGAATATTTTTGTGGTTAATGTAAAAAAAAACGATATTATTGTTTCCGAAAATAACTAATATTTTTCTCTCAGTGTAAACCATGTTATTTGATGGAAGAAACAGTATTATTTAGAGAAAATAATACTTGGTTTTCAGTAAAAAAAGAATTTATTTCATTGTATATTAAATATTGTCCCTCTGAAACAAAAGGAAATTCTTTAAATATTTTTCTAACACAGTGTCACTTCTTTTAAATCATTTGTGACAACCATTGTAATGTTTGGGTGAAAATACAAAAGAAGTACTTGACGTAAAGATATTTATCGTTTGAGAAGCCAAACAATCCTGTTTGTTGTTGAGTCCAAACATCCGTTCATTTGCTCCGTTTTGAAAGACAAATTTGTTTCGATCAGCGAAATTTCACTAAATCCAAGGAAATCCTTTTCTCCGTCTACCACGCGAGAAAAGGGAGACTGTTCTCTCTGCTCTTCTCGCGCCGTGCAATTCTCCACGGGAAATGCATCAGAAGGATTAACGAGACGTAAATGCGTGCGCGATTCTCACATAATGTCGCCATGGGCGCGCTTCGTTTCTGAAACGCGTCGCTGTCGCAAGACTGCGACCGGGCCGAGTTTCTCGAGCACGCGGGCAAACGAATAAACGAAAGCAGGAAGTGACGACGTCGCGTCGGTCGCGATCTAGTACGTCTAAAACGAAACCGCGACAGTATGACTTCCCCTCGGCGGCAGATGCCAAGTGAAAGGATTCGCCCTGTCGCGTTCTCGCGGAAAACGCGGAGAGGAGAGCGCGCGCACGCAATGCGAACCGCCGTCGTCGACAACGACGACGCCGACACCTCCGTAGCGAGCCGCTCGTCTCGTTCTCGTGACCCACTTGCCGTTCTCCGATTCGACGGCCCAGATTCGCTTCCTGCCGCCGAAGCCTTTCCGTCTCCGCTCTCTTGCGGCCGCACGCGGATCTCCGGAGATGCAGTTCGCGCGCGCTCGCGATTCTCTCTCCTTTTCCCACTCTCTCCCTCCGTCCCTCTCGATCTCTTTCAGCGCTTCGCTTCTATTGCTCGTCGCGTTACTGTTGATTTCTATCGTTAATGCGAGTCCCCGTGAAAGACTCTCACCATCCGTTTACTCGACTCGCCGAAGTGTTGCTCCTGCCGGCAATCTGCGGATCTTCGAGTGTTCGTACAAGAAAGATTCGCGAGAGTCAGAGGAGATATTCTAAATCTGAGTTCCCGTACAATTAGCTGTTTCCTGGCAGTCGCGTTTCGCGAAGTGTCGATCGGCGATAACGCAATTTTTATGAGCCACGGGGTCGGGCAAGTGGACGGTCCTAAAATCAAGGACGACACAGAATAAGTAGTATGGATCGTGGACATTACACCGATAAAAAATTACAATTATTTTCGGCGCCAAGCGTACTCTTTTTTTTTTCTTTTTTTAAATCCAGCGCTGCCATTCAGTCACTAAAAAATTCACTATTGTCCAAAATGGGTCACTATTTTTTCCTGAGCTGTTATTAAATTTGCAAAATATAAATGTTCTACATATATTTTTGCCATCTCTCTTGATAAAACGGTTCCGAAAACGTATTTGTATTATTCGTATCCTTGGTCTTTTCTCGTTGTGAATTTTCAAATTTTCAAACCGTATTATGAAAAGAACTCGCTATATGTTATCTAAAGATAAATCTGGGAAGTTAAGAGTGTTACTTTTTTGCTCAAGTGACTTCTTTGTTGGACAAGTTATTCTGGACAAGTTATTCTTTGAAAGAAGGTCTTAAGTCAATGATATTCTCATATGCATATTCATATAGATATAAGCAAAGAATATTATAATACTATATTAGAATAATATAATATTCTTAAACAAATTTTAGTCTCGAATTGAGTGCAAGTAATACTTGCATCAATATAAATTCAGTCAAATCAAGACTGAAAATCTTCTAGGATTATAATATTCCTGCTCGCACATGAGAGTATCTATTCTTGATTTAAGACTTAATTTTTTTCTGTGTATAGTGTCAGTGACAATAACCTTATACACGCATACTGCTATTACTATAAAATACATTTGTGAATACGCCTGAAATGATCATGATTTTCTTCAGTGTGGAGCGAATTAAACGATTTCATCGATTCGCATCGATGTCGTAATCGGGGCTATCCGGCTGTGTGGGCAAGGATATTCACATGTCGCGGAAATTAATTACGCACGCGAGGCGATGTGGGTCAGCAGTCGGGAAAGGTGCATGGCTGCCGTGTGCGGTATGATGTCGCGAGGCATAATTAATCAGGGTTGCAATCGACGTTCCGCGGGCCGCGATTTTATGACGCGACGCGCGACGGAAATCGCATCGGGAATTTCGCCGCGACTCTCGCATCGACCGGCAGCTGATCTCGTCGGGGACGCACCTGGCCGCCGCGTGATTTCCAGAGGAGAGACCGGCCGCGCTCGGATCGGCGCCAAGGTTGGCCTCCTCCCCGAAGGAGCCGCAGAGAACCGAAGTGGAAAGCGCCGACGTTAAATCGCGGTGAAATTCTCTCCGAGCGCGGAGTATCAATTATCGTCGCGGCGCGGAAAAGGGGAGAAAAAAGTTAGAGAGGGCCAGGGGAAGAGAGAAAGAGAGAGAGACGCGCGTTGACCGGAAGCGGCCGACACTCGTTGCGTTTTATTATCATCATAGGCTGCAATTGCGCCGGCAGTCGACAATGAGATCGAACTTTCCCTAATTGAAAGTATCTCCCGCGAGCGCGCGCGTGCTGCCACCACGGCCGCCTTTAACCTCCTTTTTTACGACCGTGCTCCTCGAGCCAGCCCTCGTTTCGGCCGGACGGAAAAATTGCCGCGTCCGCGTGTATGTG